CTTTCTTGTATATCTCTCTCCTTCCGTCTCTCTATATCCCTTTCCTAGTCAAGATTTGCCTATGTTCGCTCTGTCAGGGTACGCGCCGACAGGACCCGATTTTCATAGAGTACCGATTTTCGACGACATTCGGCGGCAAGTGGAGCGCACGCGCCGATGACTGGAGGCATCACTGTTCAAACAACCCCGACTTGATTCCACGTTCTAAATTTCTTGAATTGGTATTTTTCAAATTCTGGTATTGAGCTATATTGTTATATCTCTTGTTGCTTTAATTCTTTTACTGCATGTCACTTTTTTTATTTTTTTTTACTCTTACTTGGTTACTTATTTTTGCGTGATTGTGTAGCATCATTGATTTGTTATTCATCATTTATACTGGTTATTCGGAGTTTAATCGCTTTGACTTGTTTCCCAACTCTTGTTGTGTCCCTTGATTTTAGGAAATTTTCCCCCTAGTGGTTTACTATTGTAGCTCTTCTGATTTTGTTTCCTTATGTTGTGACTAGGAATATTGCATTAATTTGAATTGATTATTATCCCTTAGACTATAGTGGCTGTGGTGAGCAATGCTAGAGTAACGTAAAGTCCTCAGGTAGGGCGGGGGATTGGAGCCAAAGGTAGTAAGGGGGTAAGGGAACCTCTAGGCTGCGATTTGGATCATGGAATATAGGGACATCGACGGGGAAGTCCATAGAATTAGCGAAGATTCTCCAGTAGAGGAATATCAACATAGCCTGTATCCAGGAGACTAGATAGGTAGGGACTAAGGCATGTGGGGTATAGGTTGTGGTACTTGAAGGGATGAAGGGGAAGAATGGGGTAGGCATTTTAGTCGATAGGGAACTTAGAGAGCTAGTGGTACAGGTTATGAGGGTGATTGACAGGTTGATGGCTATTAAGATAGTTGTGGGAGGATGTACCTTTAACATAATTAGTGCCTATGCGCCTCAGGTGGGTTGGACGAGGAGCTTAAAAGGTGCTTCTGGGATGACTAAGATGGGTTGGTGAGGGGAATTTTGCAGATCAAGAAACTTATCATAAAAGGAAATTTCAATGGCCATATTGGGACGTCGTCTGGGGATTATGACGGGGTACATGATGGCTTCGATTTTTGTGTCAGAAACGAAGGAGGCACTTCGCTATTAGATTATGCTAAAGCATTTGATTTGATGATTGCTAACTCATGTTTTCAGAAGAAGGATTTTTTGGGTTTAGTTGGGCTCATCCGGGTTTGGGCCTACCTGTACGGTCTTTTCCCCTCCAACCAGAGTGCAGGTCCCTGGCGACCAAGTAAGTATATCACCCCTTAATCCTTCTTTCTTTTCCCTCTCTCGTTCTCCCCCTTGCTTTTCATCCCTTTTTCTCCCATGTATCTCTCTCTCCTTCTGTCTCTCTCTAACCCTTTCCTGGTTAAGATCTGCCTCCATTCACTCTGTCGGAGTACGTGTTGGCCAGACCAAATCTGCATAGAGTATCAATTTTCGGCGTACATCCGGCGGCGAGTAGAGTGCACATGCTAGTGACTGGTGGTGTCACTATTCAGACAACCCCAACTTGATTCCAGGTTCTAAATTTCTTGAATTGGTATTTTTTTTAATTCTAGTATTGAGCTATATTGTTATACCTCTTGTTGCTTTAATTCTTTTACTACCTATCGATTTGTTTTTTGGTTTATGTGGTTGTACACTTAGTTACTCGTTTTTGTGTGATTGAGTAGCATCCTCGATCTGTTATTCATCGTTTATACTCGTTATTCGGAGTCTAATAGCTTTGACTTGTTTCCCCATTCTTGCTATGTCCCTTGATTTTAGGAATTTCTCCCCCAGTGTTATACTAACGTAGCACTTACGATTTTGTTGCCTTGTGTTGTGACTAGGAATATTGCATTAATTTGAATTGATTATTATACCTTATACTATAGTGGTTGTGGTGAACAATGATAGAGTAAGGTCATGTCCTCGGGTGGGGCGGGGGGTGAGGGCCAAGGGTAGTAAGGGGGTAAGGAAACCTCTACGATGTGATTTGGATCCTGGAATATAGGGACATTGACGGGAAAGTCCATAGAATTAGCGAAGATTCTCCAGAAGAGAAAGATCAATATAGCATGTGTCCAGGAGACTAGCTGGGTAGGGACTAAGGCACGCGATGCTGATGGATATAAGTTGTGGTATTCGGGGGGATGAAGGGGAAGAATGGGGGAAGCATCTTAGTCGATAGGGAACTTAGAGAGCTATTGGTAGAGGTTAAGAGAGTGAATGACAGGTTGATGTCAACTAAGATAGTTGTGGGAGGATGTACCTTCAACATAATAAGCGCCTACGCGCCTCAGGTGGGTTTGGATGAGAAGGTGAAAAGGCACTTCTGGGATGACTTAGATGGGTTGGTGCGGGGAATTCCGCACATCGATAAACTTATCATAGGAGGAGATTTCAATGACCATATTGGGACGTCGTCTGGGGGTTATGACGGGGTACATGGCGTCTTCAATTTTTGTGTCAAAAACGGAAGAGGTACTTCACTGTTAGATTATGCTAAAGCATTTGACTTGGTGATTGCTAACTCATGTTTTCAGAAGAAGGAGGAGCACTTGGTCACCTTCCAAAGTACGGTGGCCAAGACCGAAATTGATTATCTACTACTCAGGAGGTGCAATAGTGGTTTATGCACGGATTACAAGATCATCCTGAGCAAGATTCTCACGACCCAGCGTAGGCTATTGGTTATGGAATTAGCGATCATGCGGATAAGGAATAATACAGTTATGGGTTTTCTACGTTGGATCTGGTGGGGTGCCTTGACTAAGGACAAAACCCAATAGTTGGGGGAGAAGCTACTAGTTATTGGGGCCTGGAGGAGTAGTGGGTACGCGAGTTGTATGTGGACCATGATTCCGAATTGTATTAGAAAAGCTGTGAGAGAGGTGTTAGGGGTCTCGAAAGGGTTCGTTGGTGGCCATAAAGGGGACTGGTGGTGGAATGAAGAGGTCCAAGAGAAAGTGAAAACCAAGAAAACGGCGTATTTGAAGCTAGTCAAGAGCGTAGATAAGGTGGAGATGAGGGCTAACAGGGAGTAGTATAAGAAGGCTAAGAAGGGGGCGAAGTTAGCGATTACTGAGGCTAAAACTACGGCTTTTGGACGTTTGTATGAGGAGATTGGGGATAAAGGCGGGGATAAAGGTGGGGATAAGAAGCTTTACAGGCTGGCAAAAGTGAGAGAAAGAAAGGCATTTGATCTGGATCAAGTGAAGTTCATAAAAGACGAGGAAGGTAGAGTTTTGATGTATGAGGCGCAAATCAGGCAGAGATGGTAGTCATACTTCCATAAACTCTTGAATGACGGGGGAGGTAGGAACATTTTGTTGTAGGATTTGAAGCACTTTGGGAATCATCGAGATTTTGGGTTCTGTGGTCGCATGAGAGTGGAAGAAGTCGAGGGGACGATGCTTAGGATGAGCAGGGCTAGTGACAGGTCCAGACGAAATCCTTGTAGAATTATGGAAGAACGCGAGTAAGGCCCGCTTGGAATGGCTCTCTAGGCTGTTTATTAGGACGATGAAAATGTTTGAGGAGTGGAAGTGGAGTACAATGATTCCGGTGTACAAGAATAAGGGTAATATATAGAATTGCAATAATTATAGGGGCATCAAGCTATTTAGTAATACGATGAAAGTTTGGGAGAGGGTGGTGAAAGGGAGGGTGAGGAGTATCAGCCCTTAGCCCATTCGTATTTTCTGTGGCGATGGACGCATTGACGGGACATATGACGGGTCAAAACGTTTTAGCAGAAAATCAATTTAGGACTAACTAATAAGTGAAATGGACAAAGCAATAGACCAAAGTCACTAATAGTGACATATAGAGATAACTAAAGAAAGCAATAGAAGCTGGGATACCACAGATAGAAAAAGTGAAGAAAACGAAAACTTACTAGCTGACCCATGCTATCATATTCATGTACAACACAGTAAGCTTTGAAACATCTTCTTCATCAACAATAGCTACTAAATCATGCTGTTGCTTAAGTAATCTACCAGATTAATTATTTAGTTGATGCTTGTTTTTAATAATGCATGAATATTTATCTCTTCCAATTTTTATACAAATGAGAGAAGGCAAGCGCAATTCAATCAAAACTCGAGGAACTATTTTCTTATACATAATAAAAATATTATTCATTTTAAGGAAGCAAATAGTAACATCTTATTGTCCAATGCAAACCACATCTTATTTGACATGCACCTCCAAAAGGTAAGTAACTGTATATGCCACACAAATACTATTATAAAAGTATACATGACATTTCTCTTAAATATTCTCACACCATCTATAAAATTGCTTAACCAAGATGATAAATAAAGTAACATTGTTCGAATAGTAACTAAATATATTAATTGGTTTCTTTTAAAAGTTAGTACCAGTAAAATATTTGGAAGTTAATATTATAATGTTTAGCACTATGATAAGTTTAACACAAACATTACTATTAAAGTAGAATCTTCCGGTTCCAAAAATCTTATTTTTATGTTTTGGCCTTATGTATGACTAAACAAAAAGATCATGCTGATATGCAATTAGGCTTTCCAGTCAATTGCAACTTTATTTGTTTGGGACACTCAAAGGTGTTCATTGTGAAATATTTTCAAACACCTTCTGAGCACGGAAATTCAAATACTGTTTAAAACATATCTAGAACTGATTTCCCTAGAAAATTCTGGAAAATCCAATTTAACATGCCACAAACATTTCAGTCCTAGGTAGTGCCAATAATTAAGTAATAGTGAAAATTAATCAAGCACACAACCTCACAAATAAAGTGTATGACTTCACTTGGAGTACATCTCATGAAACCCAAATCAAATGACTCACAAGAAAAACCCCAACTCATTTTTCACCAACACATTTAGGGTACCAAATTAGGTATTAACCAAGTAATTTTATTCACCCATTTACAAATAAAATTGCAGAGGAAAAAAAATGTAAAAAATATTGTTAACTTACCAAACATATGGAACTTTGTGGTGTCTCACATCAGTTGGTAAGAATATAGAGGAGCAAGATTTGTGACTCTTTGTTGCTACTGTTAAATTACTTACCCTAGGTTGTGTGTCAGTTGGGATGTGTACTGGAGAAGAAATACGATAGTTTTTGCCGGAGCCATGACGGAAAGCCTTCCCGGATTGACTGGCGCAAGAGGTTAGGGTTCGAAGTTAAGAGAAGGGGCTGGATATGTTCTGATGTTTAAGAGGCAAGTTGGAGGAATACAAAAAGGTCTAGGGCTGGATATAAGAAAAAGGTAAAATCCAGTTTAGTAAAATTAGAAGAGGGAAAATATGAGGGGAAATCAAATAACTGTTGCTACAGATGAATCTATACCGGGACCGTTGCCGTAGATTTATCTTTGGCAACGGTTATTTTACTACTGCAACGGTTTACTCTTAGAACTATTTCAATAGGGGGTAATGTCTTATGCAACGGTAACAACAGTTGCAGCATATGGTCTATTGCAACGGTTATGTCATCGTTGCTAAAACATCTGTTCCAATAGGCTTATTTTCTAGTAATGGAGAGATGACATGGTGTATGTTATTTGAAGATGATAGTTTGATTGATGAGACGCGGTGTTGTATTAACGAGAGGCTGGAGGTTTAGAGACAAACTCTTGAGTCTAAAGTTTTCAAATTGGGCAGGACTAAGACAGAGTACTTGGAGTGCAAGTTCAACGACGTTACCCAGGAAGCGGACATAGATGTGAGGCATGATACACAAGTCATACCTAGGAGAGATAATTTCAAGTATCTTGGGTCTATAATACAAGGTGATGGGGATATTGACGAGGATGTCACGTACCGTATCGGAGCGGGATGGATGAAATAGTGGCTCGCTTTCGATGTCTTGTGTGATAAGAATGTACCACTGAGAATTAAGGATAAGTTCTACAAAGTAGTGGTTAGACTGACCATGTTGTATGGGTAGAGTGCTGGCCGGTCAAGAACTCGCATGTCCAGAAAATAAAAGTAGCCGAGATGAGGATATTGAGATGGATGTCTGGGCATACCAGGTTGGATAAGATTAAGAATGAAGTTATTCGGGATAAGGTGGGAGTGGGCCCCTTGGAGGATAAGATGCGGGAGGCGAGGTTTAGATCGTTCGGGCATATTAAGAGAAGAAACATAGAATCACTAGTGAGGAGGTGTGAGACATTAACCTTGGTGAGCATGAGGAGGTGTAGAGGTAGGCCAAAGAAGTCTTGGGGAGAGGTGATTAGGTGGGATATGGCGCAGTTGGAGCTTATTGAAAATATGACTCTTGATAGGAAGGTGTGGATGTTGAGGATTAGGGTAGAAGATTAGTAGGTAGCCAAGTGTCTCCTTTTGTCTTCCTAAGTTTGTTAGCATTAGTGTTAGTTTGTTATCTAATTATTCTTAGATTGTTATTACTACCGTTTATTTTATACCTTAGTTTCAGCCCTCTTTTTATCTTACAGTTGTTTATACGTGTTGTCATTGCTTCTTTTTATCTTTTCTTTAGCCGAGGGTCTTCCGGAAATAGCCTCTCTGCCTTCCAAGGTAGGGGTAAGACTGCATACATCTCACCATCCCCAGACCCTATTTGGAGGAATTTGCTGGGCTTATTATTGTTGTTGTTGTTTTATTATTTCTTGTTCAATATAATTAATACTTGAGTCTTTACAAACTTCTAAATTATAAAATAAGTATTTTAAGACATAAATAAATTTGATATTAAGAGGTAATATTTATTAATATATTGATGATTTCTCAGTTTAGTAGTAACTTATACCATTTGACTTACCTAACAGGTTGGGTTAGGTGCCATCACGACTTGATGGGGTTTCGGATCGTGACATAGACTTAATCGATTAGAATTCCCGTCATGACTAGGAATCTGAACCCTCGCTCGCAATGCGGACCTCATTGTGAAAATTGTTTCCTTGTGCCTAGCAGCTTTTTTGCGATGCAAGGTCATTAAGCGAAGAGATTGGCACGGCTAGGCCCCATATCGTGAGGGGCCTCACATCAACAAGAGTTTGTTGCACCAAACATTTGGCTCATGAACAGCTCTTACGACTAATTTTGTGATTTCATGAACCTTACCAGGTGAGCTTCTCATGACGAGGCTTGTTTACTCTTAAAAACGGATAACAATTGAATTTATACGCGGTTTTAAGGATATGTGGATTAATTCAATACAAGTGATTAATGACGTTAGATTAAGAAAATAAAATTCATAGTAAATGGCCAAACCAATGATAAGAGTGAGTCCGAGCTAGGTTAATGGGTTAACGAGAAACCTGCCTTCAGTTCCGAGCTTGCACTTATGAAGAACTTATGAACAAAAAATAAGAACTTTGAATAACTTTTAGAACAAAGAGAATTGAACTATATTGCCCTGGTATGTGTGTTACAATGTTCTTTAATGAATAATTAGCTTCCCCTTTATATAGTAAGGGAGTTTTACCCTAGGTACAATTCTAAGAAAGGTAAGAAATCTTTTTTTTTTTTGCTAATCACTGATTTTCTGCCGATACGGGCCGAGATTCACGACGTGATATCCGGCTGGGCACGGATATCATGGCCCTTTGTTAGTTATGTGCGGTCGTTTGGTAATGCTCACCGAAGTCTTGGGACTCGAACTGGACTTGGGAGATGTGGTCCTGATGGCTCCGAGGGTAGGTGTTTTGCTCGGGCCCTGATAAGAGAGGCTCCTGGTTTTGATTCTGATTCCTTACAGTCACGTCCCTACTCTGTTTGCCTCACCGAAAAATTGGGGTGCTCATTGGACTCGGTTTTACCCGTATACAGATAGTCCCCTCATTTCTCAGAGAGTAGGTTTGCCGAAACAATGGGAAATGACATATGTTCTCCGGTTCCATCCTTCGTATGCTAGGACGAAGGATCCGAAACGTTCCATCAGTCGCGTCGTTCTAACTTCGAACACGTGTCGCTCATCGGTTGGTTGCCCCCGAATGTGAAGCGTCGCCTGTTTCCCTATAAAAGTTTCCACCCTTTGCTCTTTTTCTACCTTTCAACCAAGTTATTACATTCGAGCTTTCCACCTATCATAAAACCTCTTTCAAACCTTCATATCTTCATCCTTGTTCTTCAATTTTCATAGTGATTTCCAGGTTTTTACCCAGATTTCCTTCAAATTTTCATACTCTGTTCTTGATTTTCAGAACTCGTTTTTTCAAAACATCACATTCTTTCTTCAAATTTTCAAATCTCTCCAGATAACAATGGCTAAAACATCCAAATCTGTTCCTTAACAAGTTGCCTCTTCATCTTCCCAATCGACCGCCGGTACTGAGGCGGTTGCTCCTGAAGTAGTTGCCCTCGAAACGGTTTCTCCCAAGGTGGTTGCTGACGAACCGGACCCCGAGCCTCCCTTGAAAGTGTTCATTCCCGGGGGCTGCTCAATTACAGACACCTTTAAGGTCTAGAAACCCTCACACAAGCAGGACCGGGGTGAAGGAGCATCAAGGTACATATGCTCCGTGACAGAAGACGTTCTTCCCATAGTTTGAAATGACTGCAACTGGGAAGTCAAGGATGTAGTAGTCCTCGGGCCTGAGGACACCATTACTACCCATGTGGAGGGGTACTTAAGTGTATACACTTACCCCTTCACACTGGGCCCGGTGGACCCGATTGTTCTGGACTTTTGCAAGAGGTACGAGGTATGCCTCGGGCAAATACACCCATCATTATAGAGGATCGTGATCCTCCTTCACTACTTCGTGAACAAGACCGAGTCCCTTCAGTTCATGATCGATCATCTACTTCGATTATACAGTCCCCAAATTTTCTGAGAGGGACTGATCAAGCTTACTCGTCGGGCCAGCAAGGCCCACTTTTCAAGTATTGATGAGGACCAAGACCGGGGCTGGTAGGGACACATCGTTCGGGTTAAGACCGAAGTCTTGATTCCCCCCGAGTACATGCCATTCCCTGAGAAGTGGAACGCATCTCGTAAGTGAAATTTCTCTCTAAGTGTCAAAGATTTTCTTTTCCTTCAATTTCTTTCTTCTCATTCATACTTGTGGTTGTGCAGATGTTGCCCAGGTTTCGAATGCGGTCCCCGGCTAAAGGAATGGATCTAGGGCATCTGTACTCATATGACGTACCCTGAGCGCGCATGGCACGGGCTTTCGAAGGGCTAGTGGGGGCGTTCTCATGGTAAGGCCTCTTTTATAATAGTTAATTCCATGCTTCTTATCTTTCAACATACTGACTTTCCTTTCCCTCTGCTGTATGTAAGTTTTCCTAAGACTACCAAACTTAGACCTTTGGAAGGGGACGAGGACGTGTTCTTGCCCGTTGATTCCTCCGATGCGGGGCATCCCGGGGCTGCCATGGAGGAAAAGAAGAAAAGGAAGAGAAAACCTTTCGGGCTCCCCGGGCTCCGAAATGAATAAACCAAATAAGAGGGTCGCCCACAAACCCAGGAGGAGCTCTAGCTCCTGGGTGCTGGACTCCAACTCTCTTCTCCAGTTCAGGGACGAGTAGGAGGATGAGCTTCTTTTTGTTACCCATAGGACGACCTTTCCCGGGGAACAGGAGGCATCTGAGGGGGAAAATCGTGAGGTCGACTCCCCTCATACTCAAGAGATCGATATGGAGACCCGGGGTGGGACTCCTCAGGATGTCGGCTCTGCTCCGAAGGAAGCGCCCGATATAATAAAGATTTCGGGGACGCCCTCCTATACTGAATCCATGCTCGAGGAGGCCCAAGAAAGAAAGGAGAAGTCCAATGAAGGTGTCCATGGTGCGGACGATCCCCTTCACTCCTTTTTTGATAGTGTGGACTTGTCCGCTTTGGAAGATTTCTCTGGGCTATATGACCTGGAAGTTCCGAAGAAGGACACATCCTTGGAAGCTGGCGAGCCGAGTTCGATCCCGAAATTAATCAACCAGTTCCCTGCTCTGAGTGTGGATCCCAATCGCAAGAGATCGGTTATTCTGACTGCCTCGGAGGATGCTCGGGTTTTGTTTGCTCCTGTGCGGATAGCTAGCTACCTCTGATGCCTAGTGACCGAGGAGGACTAGGCAAAAATGAATGAGGTGAACGTGTTGTGCCTTTTCAATGAGGCGCAGTAGGCGCTGAACCGGGTAAGGCATCATTACTTTCCATCAAACTTTACTTAGGTTTTGATATTTCTCACGATTCTCATCTTTTTGCAGGCCTCGGTACTTCATCACGAGAGCTTCATTCGATACCGGGTCGAGGTCATTCAGTTTGAGTTCGAGGTTAAGGAGCTTGCCCAAAAAAGGGATATGTACAAGCTTCTCAACGAGCAACAAAAAAGGGTCATTAAGAACCTTCAGGCCGAGATGGATGGGGCTCAGAAAGAAGCATCGATCCTAAGGCGGGAGCACGCCGACATGGTTGAAAAGGTAAAGGTTTTCAAAGTTAGAAATGAGGATCTGGTTGCAGTGGCTAACGACAATACCTCGCAAGTCCAGTAGAAGATCGACCAGATCGACTAAATCGAC